AGGGTTTTCTAAACCCTAATTAGGGTTTCCAACCCCATCTTAGCCCAATAGGCCCAATTGATATGCCTTCATTAATACTTACAAATTAAGTCCGAATTTTACACTTTTAACCCCCAATCTCTTAAAGTGTGACAATTAGCTCTACGAGACCATCATTTGATATATCATTATTTATTTTAGGGCTTCTATTCGTTCATTAATTTGTTTATTTATTTAATAAATAAACAGGGTGTTACACAAAAACTATCAAAATACATTGCTATTTTTAAACTAAGACAAAAAACCAAAATGCGTTGTTATTTTTTGCACTTGGGACAAAAACCTAATTACCAAACTTTTTAGCAAATAATCACCACAAAACCAAAATTACCAAATCAACATGCATTTTACGATGCTAAAGTAGATTGCTATTTTTAAACTAAGACAAAAAAGCAAAGTACGTTGTTATTTTTTGCACTTGGGACAAAAACCTAATTACCAAACTTTTTAGCAAATAATTACCACAAAACCAAAATTACCAAATCAACATGCATTTTACGATGCTAAAGTAGATTGCTATTTTTAAACTAAGACAAAAAACCAAAGTACGTTGTTATTTTTTGCACTTGGGACAAAAACCTAATTACCAAACTTTTTAGCAAATAATCACCATAAAACCAAAGTAGATTGTTTTACCTGTGATGGTTGTGGTGATGGTTGCGAAGGCTGTGGAATCGGCGGGAGAGCAGAAGGTTTACGGCCAATGCCTCTAATATGCCCTGGTTCCGTAAGATCGCTTTTTCAAGCTTTATATTTTTCGCTTTGCCTCAAACTTTCCTTCGTGCAAGTTGCTCAACTACAAATGTAATTAAAAATTATTAGAAACGGTATTTAATTTATAATAACTGAACAAAAATAGTAAATAAAAATTCATAATAAGACTTACCGTCCTGCTCGTGATGACCAACACCTCTACCACCTGGGAGAGGTGGGTCCTCAGCTCCATCACCCCCGTGTCCACGACCCATAACAACAACCATGGTATACATCAACAAAAGCCATATTATCATCATTTCATGAAAATTTATAAGATATACAAATACATCTTTTATTACAAATACACATTACATAGAAATAAACATTTACATAGGAATAAACATTTCTATTTAAACTAGAAATCCAAATAAAGTTCATATTACAAACACGTATTACATAAGAACTATTCTAAATAAAGAAAAATTAATAATTTGATATATCCATAAAAAAACATTTCTTACTATTGTACATTTATATATATATATTTTTATTTATAACATTTTTTATTTTTTTTTTCAATTATACAATTGTACTTTAAACAATTATATTATGTTGTTGTGTTGTTCTTTTTTACCGTCGTGATTAAAAAATATATATATTTTTTATTTATAACATTGTATAAATATGTTGCAAATAAAAAATTTAAAAACTAAAAAAGACATGAAA